ATAAATAAATAAATAAATAAATAAATAAATAAAACATTTTTAAAAATTAAGAAAAAAATTCACCATCTCTTTGCTTGTTGATAAATATACCAAACAAATGGTTTGGGCAACCATTCTTAGCAATTTGAGGGATTCTTGCAATTCTTGACCAAACTGACCATTTGTTTTTAAATACATGTGTCTCCTAAAAGAAATATTTATTATAAACATATCAGTAGCAATAAAGTTGAAAATCAGTACTGTTAATATCTCCACTACTTTATTTTATTAGAACAAAAATTGGCAACATCTTCGTTATCAATACTTAAACTAAACCTAAATTTTATCTAAATCATTTGTTCAGAGAGATAAGCAGTCCACAGGATAAAGAAAAGGGGTGGATAAAAAGGAGAATATCATGGAGAATGTGAGTGTTAGACACAATCAGATGCCTACCTGACAGCCTTCTTCCCTACTAACAGAATCTCAATTCTGTTCACATTTTTCTGGCAGCCATAGGGTCAATCATGATGGTCTTGTTCCTCTTTCTAAATTATTGACTTAGGTATGCATATGAGGCACGAATATGATCAGGAAAGTATGGAGAGAAGTCTGCATGAGGAGCTTCTGGGAAAGATTTCCTCACTCTTAGAGGCACAAGAAAGGAACATTCCCCATTTTTATCTGTAGACAGTTCCACCTATAATAAGTGATGTCTGGAACTGTGGCAGCCATCATGGGACCATGAGACCAACCAAATCATGGTGTCAAGATAGCACTCTATAGCTCATAAAGAGGAAGGATGAGTAGAGCCTGGTTCATTGATAACATCATTGAGCTGATGAATTAACTGACTCTTGAGCTCCCATAGCTTCAAATTTTGAAAAAAAAATATTACTGGCCATTTTGTGTTGAACAGTCTATTTCTTGCAGCCAGAGGCTTTGTAACTGATACAGTATACTAGCCAATGCTAGAACTTTTAATCCTACTTATGTTTTCTTCTAAATACTTCTGAAAATAACTACCTTCTTTTACATCTGGCCTCCAATCTATAACAACCCTCTCTGTATTTTTTCAAATCTAAGTGATAGCTTTGGCCTCCCCATCTTCTCATATTCCTTGTCTTCTTTGTATGTTTCTTCTTTGTTTTTGTCTTTGCTCCCCATTCCTTTCGCTTTCTTCCCCTGTCCACTTCCTTTTTTTTTTTTTTGAGATTTTAAGTTTATTTATTTATTTTGAGAGAGAGATCACACACAAGCAGTGGAGGGGCTGAGAGAGAGGGAGAGAGAGAGAGAGAGAGAGAGAGAGTATCTCAAGCAGGCTCTGTGCTGTCAGAACCCAATGAGGGGCTTGAGATCATGACCTGAGCCAAAAGCAAGAATCGGATGCTTAACTGACTGAGCCACCCAGGCACCCCAGTCCCCTCTCCACTTCTTTACCTTCTTCTAGCTCTTAAGTGTTTGTGATTTGAACATGAAATATGTTTATACATATATTCATTTATACATGTGTAAATATTATGCCTTGCATATTAGAAAGGAGGAATTCTTCCCCAATCCAAATGATTCCTTTCATACAGAGATAGCTCTGCTAGAAAAAAGAGAAAAAGAAAAAAAACACCTGACCTCTCTTTAACCCTTACTCATTCCTTCCCACAAAGGAGGAGTGACTTAATCTGACTGGTTAATTTGAAAGGAGAACTAAGCATGTGTAGCCCAGCCTGTCCTAGTTTCTGTCTCTTGGGAGCCAGCTACCTATAGGAAACACTCACCATGCTCCTCCAGGCTGTACATTTAACAGAAAGCATGCCCTCGTGGTGCAGGAATATGTGGTGGTCCTGCAATGCTGGTGACTAGATGGAAAAGTCTGGGTAATCCTCAGATTCTGTATTGGGAAGCTCAAATTCTTCCAAGAAGACAGAAGCCACATTCTCAAATACCAGTTCTATCAGTAATAAACTTAGTAGAGTCTCATTATACCAGCTGTCTTGTCTTACTTTGAATAGATTCAAAACTATTCAAAATAGTTGAACTTGGGTCAGAAATAAGACTTCTTCTCTCTAGCCCCCTTGAACAGCACTAGTATATATGAAAGCTTTGTTTCCCTGTTTTGAAGTATATTTTCTTTATTCTTCATAGTTGCATGCTGTCATTGTGGGCGCTGTGACAATAAAAAATATTCTCCAGCATTGTGTCTTTGTTTTATAAATGTTTTCTGCAAACAAAAGATGTTTTTAATTTGTGTGTGGCTGCTTGTTCTTGATGGAGCTTCCTATGGAATAGAGGCTCTTGATAGAAACAATATTTACCTTCCCGATTTTTGAGGGCCTCTGCTTATAACTTGTGAATCTGCACTTACTTGATCTGAGTCCAGCTTCTCAGGAACTTCATGTGTAGCTGCTGCCTCAGTATAGGCTTGGTAGAAGGTCTTTTCTTGGGACTCCACTGTAATGGTCAACACAGCATCATAGGCTTCCCGGAGTTTTGGGTTGTTCCTCAGGACCTGGTAGGGTGTATGCTTATAAGGTAAACTGTAGAGCAGGGCATCATAAGGAACAAAGACATAGGTTCCATCAGTCATTTTCAGATCATGAGCCCATTCCAAGAGATGCATCTGAGTCTCTCCCCCAATCAAGGCCGAATGCATACACATGATGATTACTGAAACCAACAAAGCAGGGAGGTTATGGCAGTAATAGGTTAGTAAAATACACTTCCAAAAACCACAGACCAGGGGAAATAAATAAATGTGTTACAACCAATTGCTAAATTATTTTTATCGTATGCCTCTAAGATGATCAAGATGTTGAAGCCCTGAGCTAAGGCTTTGTTCAGGGACTCTAGATTAGGCATAGGGACAATACAGATATGTCTACAGCCTGCAGAGCCCAATACTAGACAGGAACAAGAACAACTATAGCAAATGAGAGGTAGCATAATGAAGAGGCTATGGGATCGGAAGACTCAGGCTTATACCTTAACATCACTAGTTATTGTTAGCTGTCTGCCCTTAGCTAAATCGCTTTACCTCTCTCCCTGCCTCATTTATAAAATGGAGATCAAAAATATGTACTTTATGGGGTGGTAGTGATGATTGAAGGGCAATTCGTATAATAGGCTTGGCACATGACACTCAAAAAATCGCAGCTATTATTATACCTAAGAATAAGAAGGCTAGAGGGAGAGGATAGGAGAGACTCTCATAGGCACTGTTGCTGTTTATTGCCCAGCTCTGGCAAACATACATTCCAATAGGTTTCGCACAACTGTTTCCACCCTTACTATGGCCAGTATAGGCAGTGAATGGCACTCACACTCTCCTGTAAATGATAATAATATTGTGGGTGATAGGCTCAAGTTTTAAAAATCTAACTTCCCTATAATTGGAATTACTTTGCACTCTTCTTTAATTCTCCCCTGACTTATGAAGCTATGTTGTTTGGCAGAGCTATGCTAGAATAGAGTGGATTAGAGGCAGCCACGGTTGAAGAATGGCAAGCAAGATCATGAGACTGAAAGCCTTCTATCCAATTTCGCCCTTGGCATGCTAAATGAGTTTAGTTTAAGCCCACTTGTGCTTCAGTGCGCACATCTTTAAAATGCAGAGTCCAAAGCATTTCACAGGTGCGTTGAGTAGTTTAATTAGATAATGCCTGGCAAGTATTCAGAGCTCTTTGCAGAAAGGGCCAAGGTCCTATTGCTATTGGTAAATATTAATTATACGTGCTTACACGGAACCTTTAATCTCAGGAACTGAGTATGCTTAACTACATTCAGTGACTGGTTTTTGCATTTATATATTTCATCACCTATTTTCAGAAATCTTTTTTACACTGGTTAAATACCCCCAGAAATTTTCCCATTTGACCTACAGCTGATACCTTTCAGTGTTTTAAGGTGTAACTAGCAAGTTCTGAAGATGATTTAAATCACACACACACACACACACACACACACACAGTAACCTGAGTTTTCAAATGACCATTAGTTCCCTCAATATAATGTCCCTAAGAGGTTTTACATGTATTATGATGCTCACATCTTCCTTCCAATACTCTGGGATATCTTTGGAGTGAGTTCATGAGCCATACTAGGAATTCAGCCTCCTTCGTTCATAACCACACGTTGCATAATGGGGAAATGGAGTGCGAAAGAGGCTTGACAAGGCAAGAGCTGGATTTAGAAGGACAAACTAGAACCAAAGACATCTAACTCCCTAAATTTGGCTACACCATTAAATGTGAATCTGTTTGGTCAGATGAGTCCACTAACAAACTCATTGAGGGGGGAAAATGAGTTAAGTGAGGCCCTTTAAGTAGTTGGCCAATTCATCCACCAGTATCCTTAGCAAGTTACTCAGTATTAGCATCTTTCTTCTACAAAAACAGAGATTAGGTGACTTGGCCAAGATTACCAAAAGAGATAAAATTTCATTTGCTGTATTTCAAAGAATATTAGCATTACTTCACTAGATGGAATGTGTTAAATGGAATTAAGTGACTTGCTTTGGTTGAAATACAGCAAATACTATAACATACACCACCTGCATTGGGTGCTGTGGTGTACCACCCAGATGCACCCTTCATGACTGAAGCACTGGTTCTCCTAGCTGCTGGGGGTGGGGGTTAGAAGATGATAGCTAACATCTCTCTGAGAATTGCCCTCAGCTGATGAGAGCCACCTCTCACAAGGTCACACCTTCTCAGAAGTGTGCTAGAGCTGGCTTGTGCTAGTTCCCAAGAGCCTGTGGTTAAATTTTGGGGGGTTTTGGGGGCGCCTGGGTGGCGCAGTCGGTTGGGCGTCCGACTTCAGCCAGGTCACGATCTCGCGCTCCGTGAGTTCGAGCCCCGCGTCGGGCTCTGGGCTGATGGCTCAGAGCCTGAAGCCTGTTTCCGATTCTGTGTCTCCCTCTCTCTCTGCCCCTCCCCCGTTCATGCTTTGTCTCTGTCCCAAAAAATAAATAAAAAACGTTGAAAAAAAAATTAAAAAAAAAATAAATAAATAAAAAAAAAAATAAAAAAAAAAATAAAAAATTTGGGGGGTTTTGTGCACCAGTTAGTTTCAGACTGGTAGCTTGAAATTGAGCATGGTGGGAGTGATTATGGAAATCACTCCATGGAAATCAGCAAATGTTACCAATCAGGACTACTTTCCCCCTGACAAGCTGGCTGTCAAACTATTATTATCACATTGTACCCCTCTCTCTGCATCAGCCTGTATCCAATGACTGGTCAACATGGGGGCATAGAGGCTAAAACTCCTTCCTCATCTCAATTCTGGACAACTCTGAAGGGCCATCCCAGCTCCAGAGTTCCCACTGGGACTGGCTGAGGCCTTTGTTGTGATGACATGACCATTCAGTTCCTCTCTCTGCCTCATTCTACTGCTTTCTCTCCCTCACAAATGTTGTTCTTGAAAGCATTCCCACAATAAGCTTCCTGCACACAAATCTCCATCTGACAGAATTTTTTTCCAGGACACTGACTTGTCACACTGGTGGAGAGCCCCGTCATACCCTGAACTGACTTCTACCATGGCACTTACAAGATTTATTGCCCTTATTTATTTATGTCAACCTCTACTATGAAACTGTGAGCTCCTTGAGGTCAAGGACTGTGTCTTATTTATCTCTGTATCCCGGTACATATGATGAACCCAAAGAACATTGTTTAAACGAATGCCTGAAAAATTCAGAAAGTTTGTACCCTTGGATATCATTTGTGGGTTCCTTGAGGTGTGAGGCATGGACATATTTGGATTGTTAGTATGGAGGAAGGATTTGAAGTGATATTTGCTGGGCAAGTAAATTCTACCATACTTGTCCTTAATGCTTAGAGTCATTAACTATGCTCAAGACCTTACCCTCTACCTTAATCTCTTGTGATTTTTTTTTCCATTGGCACACTAAGGACACTTCAGACAAAGAGTCAGAATTTTTATAGCTGGAAAGACTCTTTGAGACCTACTACTTCCTCTTATTCCCCCATTATTCTCCAGAGGAGAAAATGGAATCCTTGAGAAGGTATGATCACAGGCTCCTCCATTTGTTGCATGGCAAGACCTTGCCATTGAACATGACTAAAGTAGAAAGCATCAATACTGAATTCAAACAACAGCAATTTAATTTAATGGATTGAGTGCTTTGTGAAAGGGATTTGTGGATGCATCTGTTCTACATGATGGTTTTACTAAATAGTTTTATTATCTCAAAATTACATTCATTAAAATGGGGTTTTACCTGTAAGTTGTTGTCAGGAAAGGATTAGTAGACAGAATCCTTAAATCCTAGACAAGGCCTGGGCCAATGAGTGATCACTGAATAATGCTAATTTGTAAGTTTCCATCCTGATTGTTAACAGTCAGCCACTCGATAGCCAACACAAGGACCAGGAGATACATCCACCTGAGATACCATCTCACTAAGATATAATCTTAGCACTTTCTCTGAGCTTCCTGAGCCCCACTCAAGCCATCTAGCAGCTATGGGGCCCCTGTGTGGCTCAACTGGTTAAGCGTCCAACTCTTGATTTTGGCTCAGGTCCTGATCTCACAACTTGTGAGATCAAGCCCTGCATCGGGCTCTGCACTGACAGCATGGAGCCTGCATGAGATTTTCTCTCTCCCTGTCTCTCTGCCCCTCCCTCCCCCCGTGTGCACATGCACTTGCTCTCTCGCTCTCTCTCCCTCTCTCCATCTCTGTCTTTGTCCCTCTCAAAATAAATACATAAATAAACATTTTTTAGAAAGACATCCAGCAGCTATGTCTTCATACGGTAGTATCCATTATGGCAGGCTGTCCAGGATCAATCATCTCTTTCACCTTCAACAATAGCAGAAAGAAACATTATGAAACTCCAGGAAAAGCCAATTACTAAGTTGCTCAACTCCTCCTTTTGAGGAAGGAAATTGAAATTCTCATATTGAAATATTCTGTCTGATACTTCCTTGAGATAGAGGATCTGCGTTTCTCAAAAGGCAACGTTCACTTTTTTTCTTTCTCACAGATTACTGGCTATAGAGTCCTTAGTGGAGGAAACTGGGTGCACTCTCATACCTTGTGAAATGGAAATAGTTCTACTAGCTAGCGTTGAAGAAGTCCTTAGGAGTCATATTCACATTGTGACCCTGCAGTATTGCTCCCAATCCACAGAAACACCCCACCACTTCAACGGTTCTTTATCTTCATTTTAGTCCTTTTGTGACATTTCCCATTACTGACATTTATTTTAACCTATTTCGTTTTAACAAATGTTGAGAGAGGGGGAAGCATACTCTGCGATTTATCCCAAGTCTCATATTCCCCCAGGAGTCAGCCATCTGGCCATACAGTGAAAGAAGTACATTCAGACCCTCTTCCTCTCCACTTTCTTCCAAGGCCAGTCTATAAAATGGATCCATAAGAAGAGCGTAGGAGGCTCTGGAATCTGCAGGTTTCCCAGTTCTGCCCCCTCACCCAATGTGATTCAGTGCAGAAGGCCTTGAAAGCACAACTTAAGAACACTGCAGTAGGTGATGGGTGACCGTTTGTATCAGCTGAGGACACCCACCCACACGCATTTTTGTCTCTAAGTCCACAGACCACTTAAGTACCTGCCACCAGTGTTGAACCAGTGCAAGAAGCTCTGCATGATGGGAGACACGCCTTACCTTTAATGGCCATT